GATTGTGAAGTTGTAATTGAGCATGAGTAGCGACCATTGCTGGAGCCCGTCTGCAGTGCAGACAGGAATCTCTTCTTGCTTCCGTATATTGCAGAAATGCCTTGTGATCCGTCAAGAGAATGACGCCCATGAAGGTAACGATGGAATTTTCACACATTTTCACAACGAAGACTAATGCTAATCCTTTTTCTTCCATATGTCCATGCTTCTTCTCGGAAGCGGTCAAGATTAGGCAGGAGTGGCATCGACTTTACCGTTCCATCCGAGAAGCGATGTGAAATAACCGCTCCTATATTCAGAAGTATCGGCCGCGACAACTATCTCCTTGGAGGGATCGTAATGAGTGAGCAGTAGGTCCGATGACAGGACCTTCTTAGCGCGATCGAAGGCCAGCTGGCAGTTGGCTGACCAGTTGAACGGCACATCCTTTTTGAATAATTTGTCCAGGGGTGCACGAAGTTGGCGCATCTCCTTTACGAACGCACCGTAGTTGCACCTCTCAATGCGAATGCGAAAACCAAATTCGTTGATCCTTCCGAACAAGGCATCTAAATTGGCGGTATGCTGCTCTATAGTGCAGCCAGCGATAACATCATCTAGATAAACGGCACATCCGTTCAATCCAGCAACCATGGAATCCTTGATTTGTTGGGAGATACCGGGAGCAGATTTCATTCCCGAAAGGTAGTCGGCTAAAGCAAATGGCCCTCTATGGGTGCTGATCGTTGATAGCCCTTTTGAAGCATCGTCGACTTCCACTAGCAAGTATGCATCAGCGAAGTCAATCTGAGTGAATATCGTTCCATCATTAAGCTCTTTGAAGAAGTCGTCGGTCGTGGGTAGCGGGTGCTGGCGTAGCATCAAGGCGTCGTTGAGGCTAGTGGAATAATCGGCGCATGAGCAAAGCGTTTCAATTGCCTTCTTGACCCCGACGATAGGTGCAGCCCACTTTGGATATGTGACAGGAGAGAGCACATCCTCCTGCTAGTGGACGATCTATTTCCTTGTTCAAAACGGCGACGTTGGCAAACAGTGCGGGACGTATCTTCTTGATTACCGGCAGAGCGTCGATTCTCAATTTCAGCGTAGCTTTTGTCTTCGTGCAGCGTCCGAGACCAGATTTGAGGACCACAAATTTCGTTTTTAGCTCGGCAACGATGTTATCTCGAGAGGCGGAGGCTTGGTGTCCGATGGGTTTGACACCTGCTCTGTGGAGGTTTGGATGTTGCTCGATCCATGGCATTGTGAAGATGTTGCACTTGTCATTGGCTAGGAAGCAGGTCTCACGTCCATTTTAGCGTCCTTCAGATGAGTTGCTGACTGTAAAATCAGCCTCGAAGTGTCTATGAGATCTAAGTGGAGTTCCATTGACTGCGTAGCCGGTCACATCTGTTTTCTGCAGACGATTCTTTCCGACTTGTTTCCAGTTGGCTCCAGAGATTATGGTGATTTCTGCGCCATTGCCGAGTCAAAGCTGCGTGGGATTACTGTCTACAATCACGTCCAGTAGCGGATAGTCATTCCCCTTGAGGGCGGCTGTGACGTTGTTGATCTGACGACGGCAGCGGTAGAGGGTGGTCAGTCCACGTTGCGGTCACGATTCCTTGTTTGCCGACTGGTTTTCAAACCCATTTGGCTCTCTCTGCTGTTGGCGTAGCTTGAGCTTCCTCCTGCTTTAGAATCGCTCTCTTGTGTCGTACAAGGTTGATCGACGGATCACCTTCGAGCATTCGTGTCTTCCTTGTAGCACTTGATCGGCTGAAATTCTGCTGTAAGGTCTTTTAAATTGACCCTCTCTGACTGATCCAGCTTCCTCAGGAGACGAGTACGGTAGTCGTCGAAGTCAGGTCCCTGGAATCCAGCGACAAAGAACGGCACTGAAGGCCGTCAAAGTCGATGATGTCAAACTTGGTAACCGTACACTTCGTCTTCACGTACAGCTCGTAGTTGCTGAACTCCTGGCCTTCGTTTCTCTTCTTGAAACACTCAAAGTGACGGCGAAATAGCATCTTTGCGGATCCAAATAATCGTTCAAGCACTTTCAAGATCTCGTTCCATGAGAGTTCGGACGGCTGCTTAGGTGCAGTAGCTGCAGTCAGCATCTGGTGGCAATTTCCGTCCAACCGAGAGACGAGAAGTCGAACTTTGTCCTTTTCTTTGAGCTCTTCGCACTCATTGTCGAGTGGGTCTCGGTATCTCTTGAGCCAGATGTCGAAAGTACGGCTACGGGCAGGATCGCAGCAGAACTACTCCATTTGGTGGTGAAGAGTCGAAAACTGCATCCTTGTCCTTGATGGCGAGGGTGGTGAGGCTGATATCTTCTCGAGGAGCTTGGTGATGCTGATGGCGGCTCCTTGTTCGTGAATACGTGGCTGTTGGAGGTCGAGCTACAGTTGAACGGCCTTGAAGAGCGGGTAGAGTTTTTATTTTTGAGGGTTCGTAAAGTTATCATCGCGAGCTCTGGATCATCGGAAGGCAACAGGCAGACAAATGGAACATTTATTGCAGAAAAAATAGAATGATTAACTGTGCAAATAGCGACCTTACATAGGGTCTGAAAAGTTCAGTACAGATCAGCGTTCACGCCCTGACCTAAAATCCCCGCGATCACCTGCAGGGCGTTAGAGTCGAAGTCAGGGCTCCAAAGAGGCCGACGTCACTTGTTTTGTGATCTGACTGGGCGTGCTTCTAGTTTTCTGGAGCAGAGTAGGTGTATAGTATTGAGTGATGAATGAGTGCCGGTTTCTTCATACCCTCATTAATCCTTCTCGAAGCAATGCTTGTCTTCTTCTCGTAGAGCGCTATGTGGCTAATTTAGTATCTTTTCATATTTTGAAATTCCACCGTCAATGCTCCCTCCCCCCATGAAAAAATAGTGCTACTCATTTCAAATGCTGTCCGTCAGTGTCTGATTTACGAGCTCCGTCTTGGCACTCAACGAGAGAAGCCTATCAAAATATCCGTGAAGCTGAAGGGAAGACACGGCAAAAGAGAGGATCTGTTGAAGTGGCTCGAGAAGTAAGCCGGGGCGACTACAGTCTCAAATATCTATTATGTCCCAGACACCTACTGACCGCACTTGAACGCATTCGAAGACATTCTGAAGATAACCAGCACCCATTAAACTGCGGTGGACTCCCAGTTCCAGTCCTTTCAGAGGACCATAAGCTGTGCCCTTCGGGCCACGGGGAAATCGTATGAGTAGAACAGATGGAATCCTCACGAATCGATCAGGTTGCTCGGAGGACATTTATGAACATCTTCCAAAGTTTCTTTTCTAGAACTCGTAGTTCGATCACTTTGGCAGGAGATCACTGAAGTTGAGAAGTGCACAGTTTGTTCAAGAAATATAGGGAGACAGCAGTTCCAGCATGTAGCACAGCAGCGACAGCGAGCTCTAATAGTGACCTTCACTAAAAATGAACACCGATCTCTGTTTTTTTTTGATTGTTCGCCACTTAGTTCGTCAGTTAGTCCCGTACCACCACCGCTAGCGCAGACTCTTGTGCTTGCAGGTGCGTAGTTGCTTCGATTATTACAAAACTGAGGGTCCCAACAGATAAAATTGTTCTACTGCGCGCTACGTCGGACCCAAAGGGTGCACCCCGCCGCTTGTTACTAGTAACAATGGAGAGGTCGTACCTGGTTGAGTTTGTAGGAGGGGGGAGCGGTCGTAGAGATTGGGAGTTGGGAGCGCGCGGGAGAAAAATTCGCCGTTTCAGCGCGTGTATATACCCCCCTCCCCAGAAGATGAAGCAGTGGGAAGATAGGTAAAAATAAGAGTAAAATGGTAAGTTAGGGAGTTGAGGTGATTTTTACTGTTTCAGTTATGCCTAACACATGGGGTTATACCTGTGTAATAAACAATTACAATTACAATTGCAATTGTATACCACCCCTTCCCGCTCGACGGCATTTTTGGAGGAAAAAGTGGGCGGAGTTTGGTGAGCTGAGTGGTATCAGAATTAAATACTATAGAGACGATGATGGTGGTCGAGGTGTGGAAAAGGATGTCGTATCAAATCCACCTTGGGGGGGGGTCGTAAAAAGTTTTCAAAAAGTAACAACGATAGGACCGACCCTGCTCGGAACCCAGTATGTCATAAGCGAAAGTCGGAATGCTATACAGGAACTCCACTTTATCGTTATTCTCCTCCGCTATTCCTTACCCGCTGGCTGTACATCAGCCAACCACCACTTGCTCCGTTTAAATGTGTCATTTCTTAAAGGGCAAGAACTGCGATGATTGTAGAAACCTGTAAGCGGTCGTCAAGTTTGTCTTTGCGTTGAAGACTGTAATCCTAAAAGGAAGGTATCCATCCACTCGCATTGGGAGGAGGACAGTTGAAGCGACAATGGCGCCTGATAAAAGTGATTCTAAGAAAGTTGTGAACTTGAAAATCGATGTCAAATCGGTCATTACCTTTGACACAACTTAATATAAACGAAACGCCAAACATTGCGAAAGATTTCCTATTCCCCAGAAAATTTGCTCTTCCGATGTTGTTCAGAGAAATCCATAACGCCGCTCCGCCATTCACTTCCCATCCAATGTCTTTCCCTCTTATCGGCCGGCCTCGCGGTTGTTCTTGTTCATGGTGTGGTAGAAGGCTACAGTTTCGACCACGGTACTCCTAGACCGATCGCCACGCTACGCTACGTACTTTGTCATCAAGTCCCGAAGCGACACGTCCGGGACAAGTCTCTAAAAACCTTTTCGACAAAGAAGACGCGAAAAATCGTATCGTAACCATCATAAGTAGCGCTTCCTTTCCTTTTCCTTCACCTTACCTTCAAATGAGGGACATTATGGGTGTAGTATTCTACCATTATTTGCAGCCATTCACGCGTAGTCGAAGTTGTAGACACATTTGCCGGAGAAGAGCATTCAGAAGAATACCAAGGTGAGTCATTAAAGAAGCAATTTCACGTGATGGTGTTTTTTTAATTTCTTTTCCGACATCTCGAAGTAGTGCTTCAATGTGGGTAATTAAGGCGAGATGGACCGATATAATGGCAGGGTAACTGTAGAGGAAATGCTTGACTCCATATTCAACCGAACGCCGGCATCTGGTACACAGGCTTATGATTGCAGGTAAGATCTAGAGGGTATTAAAGTGATTTGAAAGGAATTCATTGAATACTTTATGAGCCATCCTTGATACCCACGCAGTTCGGTGAAGTTGCTTAATTCAGTTCAACTCCTCCTGAATATGAACAGGAAGGTGAAGGAGCCCGTCTCGGGATTTACACGAAGAATTATATGCTAATGGAGCAAGCGATGAAACACCCTAGCAAGGCAGATTCACTGTTGAAAGTAAGTGGCAGGGTACTGTGCGCTATTGACATCCAGTGTATGTATAAGGTGGGCAAAAATCACGGTAACAAGAGCGTGCCGCTTGCAGTTTTCAATTTTGAACAGCAATTCTTGACGTCTATTCTATGTCATATTGTGATATTTTAGTTTTCCACCTTACCTCTCCTTACATGAAATTTACAAATGGGAGAATATACTCAGCTCTTTGAGAATAATGGCTGGTAGTGGCTCCTTAGCTCCGATGCGCTTTTGTGCTACATTGCAAAACGATTCATTGTTTCCATGAATCTCGTTGACTACCACAATGGAATCAATAGGCTCTTCACTGGTGTATGTAGGCCTGGACATTGGAAGATCGCTTCTGTGATTCCACGTGTAACTCATCCCGCAGTTTGGTCGCTGAACTCGCTAAAGCGCACTTGTTTGCGAGATGTATTCAGCATAAACCTTGAAAGGGAGGTCAGAATCATAAAACCGTCTAACTTTTGTATTATGCGAGTGAATGGAATGGAGAGGAGCAGCGCCAACATACACTGCGACGCATCTTTATAGTTCCACCTACAAATTTCTCGAAAACATGCATGTTTGGGGGTGTCGGATTTTTTTGAAAAAGGCTCTACCGATAAATTATGACACATATAAACACAATTCTGAATATTAACACGGAGATCCACTTTGAGAGAGCAACAATTTTTCATCCCCATTTTTTCGAAAATACCCGCTTTGCCTATGACGCAAAATCGCAGTTCCACCTCATGTTTCTCCGCTGCATTATGCTTTTACCCTACCAAATTTTGAAATTATCACCCATTAAAGTTTCTTAGCTTATAGCGAAGGCAAAACCGCTGTCAGATTCCGCAAAAGGAAAATCCTAGCAAAAGAGACGCAGGTATCATTGTGGTGTCAGCTCACGCTGGAATTTGTCGGGGTGACTTCATAGCGAACAAATTTCTCAAGAATGCTACAGATATGATTGGGAGGAATCCTGATTACTTTCCAACCGAGATAAGCGCCGTATCATGAGGAAAGAATACAACTTTATCCAGCCGGGTACGGAAATCAAAATTTCTTCAAAAGTAAGTGTCTCAACGGACGCAGTTTCGTGTTTTACAACACGGTGACAGTCCATGTTCTGAAGGTAAGAAATACGCTTCTTGTGAAAAGAAATCAGAGAGAAAAATGAGTCATTTTCCTGGGAAAGTTTTGCGAAGTGGAGTAATGTAAGGACACTTTTTTATCTCTGATATTTTGGAGCCTCTGACCATACTCCACGTCTTTTTTTTTCTCCATACATATTTGCTACGAAGCAAATATTTGATCTGAGAAAGAAAAACGTTAAGTGAAAGAAAGACGCAAATCAAAAATCACAAATGAAGGAATGTAACCGCTCCAATCGACTTGGTGAAACTTTCTAAAAAATGGCTCATTTTTCTCTATGAATCCTCTTTGACAAAGAGTGTATTTCCTATCTTCTAGACATGGACTGTCACAAGCGTGTTGGAAAACACGTTAAAACGCGTTCATTGGGACATTGACTTTTGAAGAAGTTTTGATTTCCATACCCGGCTGGATAAGTTGTATTATTTTCTCATGATACGTCGTATCTCGCTCGGATAGTAATCACAGTTCCTACCCTGTAGCATCCTCGAGAAAATTGTTCGTTGTGAAGTCATCCCAACAAATTCCAGCGTGAGCTGACACTTCAACAATACCTGCGTGTTTTTTGTTAGGATTTTCCTGTTGCGTTAGTGTGACAGCGGTTTTGCTTTTGCTATGAGCTACGGAACCTTAGTGGGTAATAATTTTAAAATTTGATTGGGTAAAAGCGAAATTCAGCGGAGAAACATGGGGTGGAACTATGATTTTGCGTCAAAGGCAAACCAAGTATTTTCAAAAAAAAATGAGGATAAAAATTTGTTGCTTTCTCAAACTGGATTTCCGTGTTAACATTTAGATTCGCATTTATATGTGTCACAATTAGTATGTGGAGCCTTTTCGAAAACATCCCCAGATTTGAGGTTTCGGGAAATTTGTAGGTGGGACCATACTTATGCGTCGCAGTGTCAATTCTCTGCCGTACTATTGATACCGTAATGAGCTCCATTTTGCGACCGTTTTCTTTTTTGAGAGAAATTTTGTTGTCGGTTTAGACTGGAATGAAAAGAGAAATGGAACAAAGCTAACGAAAATCCAGCTTTGACCATTCATTGATGGTTTTCGTAGAAATCACAAATTTTACATACCTTAGACTCTGCTGCCATGATGAAAAGCTAGGTAGTAGGAATCATCTTAACTATTTAGGTCTCGGTTCATGCCTTAGACCGAGAGGACCTTCGTAGGGAAGCACAAGGCTCTGACCAAGATTTTGTGAACCCGCAATGTGGTGATTTTTCAAAATTATTTCCATCAGTATATCACGAAACACATATTGAAGAAGCTGCAACATGGCTCTTTCCACTCGAGCCCTAGGAAATGCTTCGTATTGAGTGTTGCGAAGGCAAATCTCTGCTGCAAGCTCTAGGAAATGCTTCGTACTGAGCGTTGCGAGGGCAAACCTCTGCTGCAATTTTTAAGAACATCGATCATTCGAACGGTCGCTTTCGGAAGTCTAGGACCTACTCGACAACACTTACACATTACGGCGATGAATTTCCAGGAGACTTCGTTAACCGATCAAGGCAGAAAAAGGCTACTCCAGGAAATAATAATGTTTCTTTTCGATAACTTTCCATCATTATGTTGATGTTGTCAGTTTGGGTCTATTGTTTTCTTATGGCTAATTATCATGTTACCGTCATTTTGCCCAACCTGTACAAGTCCGTTATTTCTCGCTGAGTCAGAGACAGAAAAATAATATTTAGTCAGAACTCCTTTTTGTGAGGTGTTCCTTCTGCCATAAAACTCGAGAGCTTGCTGCGGCTCGGATGCACTACGTATGCTGCAAACACTGCTACTCATATTATTGTTCGAGAAATTGCAGTATCTTTTTTTTGCTGAGATACAAATGAGTGTTCGTTGATGATTTTCGTAGAAATCACAAATTTTACAGATCCGATCAAGGCAATAATTTTAAAATTGTAATTTTATTTCTCGCTGAGCCTTTTCTTCGTTAAACGATCAAGGCAGAAAATTGATCAACTTCGAATCAATCGAATATTATAACAATAAAATTGCTTTTTACCGTTTTATCTACTGAACACGAATATCGCTTAGCGTGATGTCAGTATTGATAGTACAGGTAAGTAGTACATTACAAGAAGATCTTATTCCTTTCCTGTAGGAGATCAATTGCACAGTATGTGATTGTAACCGTGTAAGCCTGTACGTACCGGCGCTTGTGGCGGGGTGGTCTTTGGCAAAATTTCTCGTGCTACATAACTGCGATATTCGTGTTCAGTAGATAAAACGGTAAAAAGTAGCTAATTTCTAACCAAGCAAAGATTTTGGCTGTAATATCGAAATGTTATCAAAATGTTATCATAGGGGAATAGTCTTGTCGTTGATGACTTCGCCTTTATCACCAGAATACAGCAATACAGCCCCAGCGACCCGAACGGTAGGTTTGGTAAAACATCACTAAAGGAAATAGGCTATGGTCTTGGTGGCGAGCAGGGCTTCTTCTTATCTCCGGCACATTAACGTTTCGTGACACCCTCTCTCCATCAAACCATTCGAATCATACCCATATGGATTATTCATGATCACCGCATTTTATCATCTTCGACTGACGTATAACAAACAGTTCTATGGATTGATATTTCTACACCTCGAAACATTACGTCGAGGTCTTCGTGTCCTTTTTGCTTAACGCACAGGATTCCTGGTTGTCCCATTGAAAAGTTAATAACGATATGAGCAGAGTCAACCCTGCGTTGCGCAGTTCGCAACGCCGTTGAAGAGATCCTCAACGCACGCCGTATGGGCGGAGACGCAGACGGCTCGATCATGCGAGTGTGAATGTTGGCGCGAGAGAACGTGTTCAAACGGGCGAAACTGCGCAACGTGGCCGTTGAGAACTGCGCAACGCAGGTTTGACTCTGGATATGAGTCTTTCATTTTCTCGAATGGCGGTAAACTATGTTCGGGGAGTTCCCATTTGAAGAAAAAATGACACTTCATAATTTTGGATTGTCCGGAAAGTTTCCGCCGATTTTAACTCTCAAATTCAGAAGCCATTTTGCGTTCAAACATGCACCTTGTCCAAAATAAAACGATTACAATCCCCATACCTTGTACCTACAAGAAATGGTTTGAATTATACGCATGATGGAATTGCTGGGAGCTAAGAACTTGGTGAATGGTAGGGTGTATGTCTAGTGTGTAAAATATTTGCAGCACAATTTCGTAGCCCAGCTAGTGCAAGTTGTGTACGGTTGGGAGTGCGAGATGGGGCCGCGCAACAGTGGGAGGAGGGGTCGGCGGTACCCAACGTTTCGGAGCTTTTACCCTCACCGCTATGTTTGGAAATCCACCTAACTTTTTCGGAGTTTTTACCTCACCGCTATGTTTGGAAAACTTGTGTCAGTTTCGCCCAATTCAGAATCAGCTTGTTCAACGGTTTTATGCAGATTTGGTTTGGCCACAACCCTCAGCTGATCTTTATCAGTCTCCGATATCATTAATCTCCTCCGAAGCTTAGCAATATCGCGACGAAGTCTTTTCGAACCACGACTCCACAGCATATTTTTGTTGACTCACAAGGGAAGGATACCAGGTCAAAGTGGCCGTTTGTAACGAGATGTACACCACTAGATGTGTTTTTGGACGCTTATTTCAAATCTGGTCTCCAAATCTGCGGAACCGTAGTTATGAAGCGAGATAGTGCAGTGGCAGCGGTGCGGCTCAAGAAACAAGAGGTCGTGAGTTCGAGTTCTTGGAGAGTTCTAACTTTAGCTTTTCTTGTGAACGTCTAAGGGACTCCTTATCCATGCTTTGAGTTATCACAGATTGTCTTTAGTCACAAGTAAACAGAGCTGGCGAGAGCTTTCGAGCGCTGTGCGCTTCTTTGCAAGTGACGCGCTCTGACAGCCCGTAACGAACGTGTTAGGCATTTCGTGCCAAGCAGAATGCGATATTCGTGTTGAGGCGCGTCGAAACACCTTTCAACAACATTTGGGCAAATCTGAAATTTTGACTTGAAGTCGAAAATGTGGGCAGTCGTCTACCATCAACCCACTGTCAGACCTGCCTGACCGTGGGATGGAATTCAGCTTTCAGTCACTGTTGTGAAAGAGATATAGTTGCCTGCCCTACATGCTCTTGCCATCTGAAGATTAATATTATTTTTATTATTTATATTTTTTCAAGCACACGTCCGCTGCCGTGCATGGTAGGACAGTCAGAGGGTAGTGGCTGGGGTTAGACATAACAGCTACGACTCATTGTAGACCGAGTTTCAAAATTGGGTCCAGATGTCAGCTTTCTAGAATTAAGCCTTTAAGAATAGTTTGGTCCGTTGAGCAAGCATCTCCCATTTGTTTAGCCCATCGTCGGATATACGTCACTTCTGTGGCGTAGAAACACCCCGACAGTGGTCGAAACATTACAGAAAAAGTGGAGTGCGTTAAACAAACTCCTCTAAACATGCGTTTGCTTTGGACGGAGTGAAAATTTCAACACTGAATGACTTTTTATATTTAAATTAGACTTACAAAAAGCAAAATATCCACCCCAGCAAGATCCCATCCATGGACTTACCACTGGAAGCCGCCAACACTGCCACTCGGCGAAGCCGCTGCTGGAAGCCGAGCTCTGCCGGATTGTCTTACAGTGGGCTTTCATTCAAAACAACCTCCGTAACACTTTTCAGCGAATCGTTTCGCAAATTGGGAGAGTGGATTCGAGATCAGCGTTCGAAAACACATCTCTGAGTATGGGCTTCATTACGGATGGTCACTTCGACTTGGTATCCTTCCCTTGTCAATCAAATGCTCAGTTTATGTCGCAAATTGCTTCCGCACATTTCGGGGCAAGTTTGAGAGGAAACAAGAAAGTCTTGCAAAGCAGGCTGTTGAGTAAGGTTGCATTCAAGACTTTGAAGAAAAATTGGAAAAGCGGAGTGCTGAAAAATAATAGATATAGAAAGAGCCAAACGCGTTTTCAAGAGGTATATGATATGTTAACAGTCTTTCGAGAGTAACCCAGAAATAAAGCATTTTAAAGTGACCTATGAAGACCTTCCCAGTTATGTCGGAACCCTCGTGGTTCCACGACGATGAAATTTATGATCAGCTTCCTAAATGGCCATCTTCCTACTCGACTACGTCCGACTTTATACCTCTTCAGCTAATTTAGAACGTTGCCCATGTAATTGCTGCTCCCCTTGAACATATCTCCATCTTGAGCCTCATGAGAGCTGAGGTGTCACTTAAGTGGAGGTTGTCTTTCGTCACTCCGATACTCAAGAAGCCTCCTTCAACGGAGCCCCTCAACTATCGGCCCATCAGTATTGCATCGATATTCGCTCGTCTTCTCGAAAAGGTTCTGAAAAAGAGAATAGAGGCCCGCCTTCAGCATTACTTCCATTATCTCTCCCCACCAATATGGGTTTCAAAAATGAAGGTCTACTATAACGGCTATGCTCATTGAACGATTTAACTTCTTACCTAGATAAAGGGTCGCGTGCTGATGTAGTTTATCTGGACTTTTCGAAAGCTTTTGATAGAGTCCCCCATGTGAAATTATTTGATAATCTTGAAATGGTCGGCATACATTCGCGTGTTATTTCTTGGATAAAAGCATTCCTTTCCGATCCTTCATATGGTGCGGCTAAACTCATCGTGGTCTAGACCCAGACGTGCGCTCAGTGGCGTACCTCAGGGTGGAGTCCTTTCCCCAACTCTTTTCAATATTTATACGTACGAATCGCCAAGTCTTATAACTTCGTGTGGGGCTGAGTGTGTGGTATTCGCTGATGATGTTAAGATCCACATGCAGATCACGACAAACAATGATTGTAGTTTGCTACAAGCCGCTACTGATGCTGTCTCTTCTGGTCCAAAGTATGGGATCTTCCTCTGTCTACAGAGGAAACTAAGGTCATACACCTTAGGTCTAAGAAGCATTCCAATATTGACGGTGGATGTATGGAGAGTAATCACTTTATGGCAACGTTTCGAGCTCGGGTCGCGTCGTCAGAGTGGAGTAATTGTCAAAGTAGTGCGACCTTAGCTCTCCAAATCCAAATTCGAACTTTGAGAAATTACTTCTAAACATAGATATCTAGACATTTTAGGGGAAGAGCAAGACACATGACTACGTTAAATCCTTAATTACACGATCAGCGTTACCGTATTGATACCACGACTATTCTGACGCAAGTGGTGGGCTCAGTTGACCTGACCCCCGAATGAGCGCGTAGGCGGTCGTAAGCGCGCAAGGTAACAAGACGTGGCGAGGTTCATTATGTTATGAGAGACTTCGTCTTTCTGTTCTGTTTAGATTTTAGCGCCAATCCAAATGTTCCCAGATTCTTGCGTAGTGGGTCTGAGGGTTCGGCGATCCAGTCCTCCGCTAGCACTCAAATTCCGCTTCTCTGCTGCAATTTTGTGAGGCACCGAGGGGGGTTTCGGTCCTTATCTTCTCATGCCGTCAGGTGCTCCTTGATTTCTGGAGCATAAGGGCCGTCATGTTTCTTCCGATGGTTCTCCCCCCGTACCGTCCTACATGAGCATCAGAGTTTAGATCACTCCTTGATACAGCAGTACTCTCGTCGTTGGGCACGATGACACATGTAGGGAGTGACCATGTGCCGGTATGACCTGATTTTGTCATAGCTGCTGATCTAGTTGGGGAGGGATCTGCCCCCGATCCCGACGTATATCCCGCGAAGACGCCTTTTAGTAGAAGCATTCTAATTGCTGAGCTGGATACCATCATAAGGAAGGTTACGCATAAAGGAGTGCCTTGTCCGATTTCGGTTGCCGTCCCTAGTGATGTCTAC